CCCTATTTATCACTGTCTACTTCAGTTTAAAAAACTTTTATCCTACGACAAACGCAATCTGGAGTCATCTTCATATCTATACAGATTGATCACTGCATTGACATAACGTTTTGTTTGTTGTTAGGAGAAAAGTGCTGTAAATGTGAGAACCCTCATCAGTTCCGCAACACTAAGGGCCGTGACGTACTTGCTGTTGAACCTCACGTTGGTGCAGGCATCAGGCTGCGTCTTTGTTCACATACTTGCTGCTACACGGCACTGCGCTGCATGTAGTACTGGAGTGTTCCACTAGCGGGCGAACCAGAAAATTCAGGGATAGAGAGCCAGGTTTGTGGAACAACCAAAACAAACATGGTGTCAATAAAAGAGATCAGTAGCTGGTTAATTTTGAGAACACGACAAAAGCGGCAGTATCGTAGATGGTGTGAAAGATCTCTAAACCAGAGAGGGCGTCACCATGGTGAGTGTGTCTTGCTCGTTTTCTCAACTCCACCTACTGGTTAGTCGCACATTGCAGCGTTCAGATGCGTCGCGTTAATTTCTTTCGCACAAAGAATGCTTTAAATTAACGTGTGGCAACCATTTTAAACACACGTTCGCATCATTAAAAAGCAAGTATATCACGGCCTTAAAGCATCCTGACAATCTTCTTGTATACAGGGGCGGTTCTAGGAGGGGTGTAGGGTGGGCCAGTGCCAGCATAATAGCAAGCTTGGGCCCCCCTGTGGCCCCTTGCCGAGAGTTTTTTCAGACTGTTAATGATTTTTCTTTTGCTAATTTACCCGTTTCACACTGAAAGCATCAGCGGAGCGAAATGGCAGTGGAACATCGCTGCTTCAAATAGAATTCAGCGTCCAGCAGTGATGCGGCAATTTCCAGGTGCGTCCCAGAAGTGGCGCGCCGCGGCAGGATATGATAAAGTTCTATTTTTGCTGCGAGCCGCTTCTGGGACACATCAATTTCCACAGTTAACATAGAGCTAGACAGGAAGTCACACAGTTTCAGTGTAAAATCCCCGGTAATTTTCAAAATAAAGGTACTGTGGCAATACACTTTCATAAATATGAAGCTTGCGTGTGACCCAACGGCTTATTTACTCACAAACATTGTTCCAGAAGAGCAGCGGTGTGCTTTTCATGGCTTTATTCCTGGTAGCGGAGAGGAACAACATCATATCATCAAACAGAGCTAAAGTAATTTCCTTCTTTTTGGTTTAACAGTGCATTGCATAAACAAACCGTGACCTGAAGTCTTGAAGGATTTTGTGATCTCGCAAGTTCAGCAAAGAGCACAGCAAGGAAGTCGTGCCGCTGCCACGTCTCTCCCACTGCGAAAAGGACCGCTTTAAAGTTTGCGAGTAAAGTGTTTCGCTGCCGTTTCGCGCCACTGATGCTTCCAGTGAGAAAGCGGGTTAGCCACAGTTCCTTCTAGCTACTCCTCTTCATATTTCTGTTCATGTTTAGTTTATTCCCTCTTCATGTATTTATGTTTTCATTTATTGTATTAAACCTCGTGTTTTACTTTTGCCCTAGTGATCAGTTTTTCCTTACTGAGCTTCTCCTTGTTTAGTTTATTTCTTTCAGTATTTAGTTCCAATATCATCTTGTTTTAGTTGCTGTGTTTTCAGTTCTCCTCCTCTTGTGTTTTTGTATTTTGTAATACCAGCTCAATTTCTGCTCCCTGTCAGTTCCTCAGGCTGCCTTCCTGTTTTGATCTAGATGATGCTCTTTCAAAATAAAAGAAAAAGATATACCGTAAATCCTCTAATATTGGCCTGTATTCAATTAACGGCCGGGTATCATATTTTGGCCGGTGTCGGAGTCGGCGGAGGTGAATAATGGCCGCTATTTTATTGTGGCCGGGTGGAATGTGGTATATTATGTCGATGGTGGTAACAAGCAAAGGTAACTCATAAGGTGAATATATATGAACCCAGGTAGCGGTTTTTATTTAGGATTGAGAGGAGATGCAGGAAGATAATAAACAAACAGGACAGAAAAATAGTCAAATAAAAACAAGTTAGTTTTTGTACCTGCTGGTTGCAACAAACAGACACCATTGAGAAGGTAATCAAAAGTGAGGAACAGAAAATGAAATAATTATTTTAATGTTTAGAGCAGCAGGAACTCCGAGAGGCTGCAGGCGCATCAGTGAGTTTGTGGCCGCTGCGCAGGGGGAGGGGGGAGAGGGCTGAAGCAGAAACCACCGTTGTTAAAAGAAATGTGTTTAACTTTGAAAATGTGGGCGCAATTTTAATTGTCAAAAACTCCAGCGAACCATTAGTTCATTTTGCTCAAATAGAAATTGAGGTCTGCCTCTAATTCGGGTCCTCCTTCCAATAAAGGCCTGGAGCTTGATGAGCTTGAGTCAAATACAGGCCCGGGCCTGTATTAGAGGATTTACAGTATTAAAAAACATACACAACATTACAACTCTAACTACGCTAAATAAATAACATTTAAAACAATAAAACACAGAGTTTAATTTTTTTCTCAGTGTAGCGATGGGTGGTAACAATTCAGCCTGTAGGTGTAATAACTCATGAACCACTAGAACGAGGCTAAAGCTTGAGATTCTGTGAACTTTTAAATGTTTCTGAGGAACAAAATATAGATGAAAACTAAAAGGAAATAGTTTTTTCATAAAAATTTATTAGATTTATATCAGGCTCTCAAAAACTGACAAGATGCAGAAAACACTTCAGACCTTCGCCCTCTCAGCGCTCAGGTTTTGATGGGTTTGGTGTAAATAACTTGGATCAAATTAGACACAATATCAGGTCAACTGTTTACATTGTCAGGTGTTAACCTGTATTTATCCTCCATTTGTTGGAGCGATGAGATCAGACACAACAGGACGTTTTGTCCCAAAACACCTGAACAGTTGGTACATTTCCATATTTGCTGCACATTTTCAAGTCCTTGTCCCAGGCCCAGTTTGGCTAAACACCCTCAAAGTCTCAGAATGTGGCTTAAACTTAGTACAACACAAGCTATAAAATTCAAACCCTCCTTTAGTGAGACAAAAAATGAGTTGCATCTCAACATTTGGGTTGAATCTGCACCAAGTGTGTTTAAAGTCATTTTACTGGGAAAAATCATTCAAGTCTAATCTATATTTCCATGGTTTCCTGCATTAAAAACAAATTGAGTCAGTTTATGTATTAAATACATGATTATACTGAGATTATGCTTTAATTACTTGAGCTTTTGTGAGAAAAAGCACACAGTCAGGATAGACCTTTGGTGTTTGGTTGTGACTCCAGATTGTTGGAAATCCTAAATACATTTTTCTAGAGTAACTCAATATTTTATGATTTTTGGCATTTTATTTGGTGATTTTGGATTAATTAATGTGTTTAGACTCACCTGAGTAACACTTGTCATTCACCCATGTCTAAATCAGAGCTTTCTTGCTTTTTCATTGATTGCAAATAAAAAAGTGCTCCTACTAAAACCAGATTTACAAAAGTGAACTTGCCATCTAAATTCTGCTGATGGGTTTTTAAATCAGAAACCAGAGATTTGGAACGATTGATTCCATCTGTCAGCATGCTTCAAGTTCAGCTGAGGCTCCTATCAGGTTATAGAGCAAGTTTACTGAAAACCCGTTTTTAACTTTTTATTTTTGAAAATGATCGGTCACTCTCAGTTTCACACGCAGGCTGAATGTAAAAATAGTTTTCTACCCCACTTCCTGCTTTAGCTGCTGCAGTAAAAGTGACGGGGGAATGCTCAGATCAGAAATGCCAGTCAGATCTATGTCACGCTGAAAATTAGCATTCAAGGACTCCCCCATCTTGACCAGTGGCTGTAGAAAAAAATCTGGACTCACGGTGGAGTTAGCTGTTGTTAGTTTAGCGTCCAGAAACAGCAGAAAACATATCAGCTATAGAAGAAGCTAACAGTTAGCATTAGCACCTTCACAACACAGCAGAACTCCTCCAAACTTTGTTGAGATAAAACTTCAATGTTTCAGAGCACATGGACTCAGTGGTAGAGTCACGTTGCTGTTAGCCAGTCAGAGGCGAGATATCCAAGTATCAAGAAATAATGGCCCAGTCCCAAAACTCTCACCTCCACCGTTGCGCCCTTCAAATGCACGTTCCTGTCTAGAGGTGAGGAAGTTGACCACGCCCCTTTTGCACACTTGATCTGCACTTTGCTTAAGTCCATACTGATGCGCTCTCCAGTGAATGGCATTACCCACAATCCATTGCTGCATATGACTTTTGAGAAGGCGGAGCAACGGCTGAAGTGCTCTCTGAAAACATGTATTTTCAAATGAAAGAAGTTCATTTTAAAGTAACAATGTATAATTTATCTGGCGATAGGGGGCAGTACATACCTAAATCATTGCAAGCAAGTAGTATTTTTGTGTTTGTGTAAGACCTTGCCAACGGATGGCCATTAGGGTCAAAATTCCCTGGGAGCACAACCTCCAGCAGAATGACAAGTACATCAGACTGAAGCGAGTGAAGAAGTAAATATTTAAAACAACATCAATGAATGGTAAAAGTTTTTTAACCATTTCTTACAAATCAGTAAATACATTTTGTCCTCACGGGCTCCCGTAGAAGGGAACATGGCATCTAATAAAGAGTCGCTTAGAGACTTAGACCCACTACCATGTATTTTAGACCCAATTTTGATGGTTACATGTTAGAAAGCTGCCGATATTTTTCAATGACTAACATCTACTTCCTGAAACAGGAGCGCCTGAGCTTCTCCTCCCCCACAGAGATCCAATCACAAGGCATGTACTGAAATGAAGTGAACTTAGTCTTTAAGATAATCATTGCTCTGCCACAGATGGAACACAATCCCCACTAAGCTGGAGAAACAGTCTGACAAAAGCGCGCCTCTGGAGTGTTTCATCCTGTTCCTGCTCAGCGTTTTTCTGGGACAAACGGAGGGACCAAGCAGGGGACACAGCAGCCTGAAGCAGGTCATCAAAGGCGTAGCTCATAGTTGGAATGGGAAACAAGACCACCAAACCAGTCCAGTTTGAATAAGCTGTAACTTTTATTGCACATTCCTGTTTGGTCTTTCAGTGACCTTTCACCCTTTGAACGTTTAAGACCTCGGTTGTGACCAAACACTGAAGTGGGACAGAGCTGTCCACAGGAACTGATAACTTGACAGGTTTGATTTGAAGCACTGGGAGGTCGTACTGATCCCAGATCTGTCACTAAGCATTGCCACAAGCCAAATCAGTGAATCGAGCAGGACCAATGGGGAAGGGACAGTAGTGACATCGTGGAGGACGAGGATGTGCTCCCAGGAGTGAGGGAATGTTTTTCCCACTTTGCTCCACTCCTGGAATTCTTCATTTTAATCTCAAAGCTTTCTAAACATCTGTCTGTCTTTGCTCACTGAACCCCCCCACAAATAAACACACCTTCCCCCAACACACGAATACATCTCAGTAGTTTTTTTTTCTTCGTTTTCTCGTGACAAAACCTGCAACATGCTTCAAATCATCGTTTTGGCAAACCACAAATAAATTAAAACACAAACATTCATAAAACACAACGTGACATTTCCAGGACATTTTGAAGGAAACGGAAAGTCCATACAGTACGGAACTCAAGATCAACGCAAGATTTTAAATCAAAACAAGAAGAGAAGCATTTGCATTTATCTTTTTTCCTCGTTTTTCTTGCTTTTCTTGGAAAAAAAAGGTTGTACAGTAGCTAGCTACCAATCACATATCACATGCAGATATAATACAAATAATCAGTTCACCCAGATAGTTTCTGCAATCTACCACTCTAAACTATATCACAAAATTATTCTGTTGAAACCAGCAAACACTCAAGTGTTGAGATCTTTTGTCTTAATAATAATTCAGTTTACAGTTTTCTTTGTTGACAAGCCAAGAGATCACTAAACGATCAACCCTGAAATGACTAGCCAGATCCAAAGAGCACTAACACACTTCCAAATATGATCAAATACCAGATGGTGTGTTGCTGTTTTTGTCTCTTTTTACCAGTTTTTTTTCTTGAATGACAAGTGTGAAACATATCCGCCTACACGTGCACGGACAGGCGTGTCATCGGCCACGAATGCAACGCGAGCGGAGCTTTGAGGCTGGGTTTACAGGTGGTGTGCAGCTCAGAGACACGAACGACCCGCTTGGTGATCACCAAGGCGCTCCGCTGAGAGCTGAATGGCACAAAGGGAGTTGGAGCAACCCCACCCGCCAAACAAGCTGGGAGAGGAAAGTGACGACACGTCAGGTTTGACGTCCTCCATCCTTCTGCTGCTCTTTTCTAATGACGCTCTGCTGAAATGTCAGGCCAATTAGCAGCCTTCCCTCTGACATTTTACTGGCAAATAGCAAAACAAACTGGGCTAGTTTAGTCTGAGTAGACAGAACATCCGCCGACTGCAGCTCTACTGTTAATATTAGACATTAATAAAGTCCACCCAAAGGTTGGAACTGGAGAACTCTGCAGCAGGTAGAGCAAACCGTATCTGTCTTCAGCTATTTTCCAAGCCAGCTGACTTTTCCCCAGGAGCAGCCAGCAGTGATCAAAGCTCACGCAGTTTCCTTCTCCTCTCCTCCCTGCTGCTTTTAGCGCTCCTAACAGGCATCAGTCAGGAGAGCTCTGAGGCAAACACTTGTTTAAAGCACCTCTCCATCCTCAGCAGCGCTCCTGACCCTGTCTGTCGTTATTCTCAGGTGTCAGCGCAGCCATCCAGGTGAGCGGCGGCGAGGCCCAGTGTGCGCGTCTGGAGCACGGCTCAAACTTTTCTGTTTTTAGAACCGGCTGGAATATAAAAAAAAAATGGTTTTAGGTCATAACTGGACTCATGTTACATTACTTTGAATAAAGAGCTAACACAGACAGTGGAACGAGGTGGTTAGTAGTTTAGCTTTAGGCCGTAGTGTCATTTCACAGTATTTTCTTTTTTTTTTACTGTTTAAAGGGTTGTCCTCCTCGCTAACACACACACACACACACACACACACACACATGCACACGCACACACACAGGGTAGGGCTAAATCAAAAGAAGATGACTGTCATTCTCAGTATCATACACAGGCTCAGCACAACATGAGGTTTTTTTTCTTCACTAGGAATCGATACCTACAGCGAGCTCTAAATTTAGTCACAAGAGACAGAAAGAGAGAAACAAAGCTAGTTTTAGAAAGAAAGAGAAAGAAAGAGAGCACAGCTCCACGTAAATTACAATCTTTATGTTGCATTGAACCGTGAGCAATGGCACAGTCGAAGGAAAGAGGAAAATGAAGTATTGAATGAGTTGGTGTAAACGCCAGCACGCTGCTCGCCTATTAAACATTAACAGCTTCATTTATATGTAAATGGCTCGACAGCTACAGGGACGGTCGGCTGTGACGTTCAGAGGAGTAAAGACTGATGGATGGGGTCAGAAGAGAAGGGGAATGAGTCTCCTTCAGTCAGTTTAGTCTTTCACAAAGGTGGAAAAAGTCCACAAGATCCAATTATTCAGACTGCACACGCATGGGTGTGCATCAGGAAAGAAAGAAAATACCACCGGAAGAAAATAACACAAATAAAAAAGGTCCAGTAACAGTGATGCACGTGCACACACTCCCAGCTGGTGAGGTGACGGAGTCATACACACGCATGCATACATCTCGCTCCCAGGTCTTTCCAAAATTAGGGAAAGAATCCTTTTGCAAGAAGAAAGTCTAATCAAATAGTTGCTTTTTTTGTTGAGTAGTTACCGCACGTCAACCCTCCGAAAGGTTGGAGACGTGAATGAAAAAAACCCTAGAACACACAAACCATAAACCGGAAAAAAGAATCGTAATAAAGAAAAGCCTCGAGTGAAAGAGCCAAAGGTGAAGATGAGATCATGTTGAGTTAGCGTGGTGGGTTGGTTTGCGTGTTGGAGCTAGCTGGGGTTTCCACTCCGGCTAGCAAAGGGGTCGGGGGGACGTCGTCTCGGCACTCAGCCGTCGGAGATGGGCGGGGACACCCAGCCGTACTTCTCGTGGGTCTTCACCAGCGACTTAAAGGTGGCCTCTGCTTCTTTACGACTGAAGGCTTTCTTGGACTTGCCTGTTTTCCTGCATATACGACCCTGAAGGAGACAGAAGCAGGAAGACAGGGAGGTTACGACCGTGGACAGGTAAAGAACTTTAAGGGTTCCAAACTCAAGTTCCTAAATTTAAAGCTGCATCACTGATTAACAATCGATAACTCGGACTGAACATCAATAACCTGTTCTGCCTGTATCATGAAAGTAACTACCAAAGCCATCACAGCAACCTAATGCTAAAAGTGACTACTTGATGTCTCATTTTGTTTAATAAATAGTTAAAAGCATGAAGATAATTAGTTTACTAGTGTAAATACTACAGAGCTCCTGTGGAAAACCAGGACAAAATTAAAGGGGACACATTATGATTTTGTTCTTAAGTTATAAAAGCTTTATGGTTGATACCAAACATGTTTATAATAATAATAATAACAACAATAACAATGCAATTAATTTATAGGTGCCTTTCAAAACCCAAGGTCACCTCACAAAACATGAAAAAACTTACACAAAAATAAGAATAAGATAATTTAAACAATAGAATTACAAAGAATACACTATAACTTATGAAGTTCTTTGCTGAAAATCCCTCTCACGTAAAACAATTTTTTCATTTATTCATGACAGCTTGAGTACATTCTAGACTGAGTCCTTTCAGGGCTCTGTCACTTTAAGAAAACCAGCTGGAGCTGGCCACACCCACCATACCACACTCAGGCTGCTATAGGCTGAGAAGCTCCGATATATGGGAAGGGCTCAGAGAAGAGCCGCTGCTCCGATGGCAGGAAAGCATGTGAGAGGTGGTTCTATGCTAACACCCCATTTGTGACATCACAAACGGGGACGGCTTGTTTTAGGCACATCATTCCTAAAACCAAACACTGACAGAAATAGACTGCATGTGTTTATTTCATGTTTGGAATGTTTATAAATGCAGTGGACTCACATGGCTGTACAAAAATATGAAATAGGTGAGTTTTGCGTTATGTTTATATCAAGAGAATATATTTTTTTATTTAGTTTTAAGTAAAAAAATAATTCTTTAATTGTCTTCATCTTTAAAAGATGCTAGAAGCACAATGTTGTTAGCAGTGTCAAAACATAATGAACATGTTGAGCATCTTTCTTTTATTGCCACTTTAGAAATAATCCCAAAATAAAAACCAACACGTCAAAATATTACCGTTTGTCATCGGTGTGCTGTCAGATCCAAAGAAAGATGGCTGTCAGCAGCGTTATCAAACTCATTCCCAGTTTAAATCTTTTCAGGTCATTCATATAAAGATGGAGGCCCAGCCCACACACACACATTGATGAAGTTAATGGTGAATGCACTGCTGCAGGGGAGATGTTGGCAGGACAAGTGGTCTGAATGCAGACTGACTAGTATCAGATCAGTGATTAAAGGCAGGGGATGAGCTTTTAAGACGTCAGGTTCAATCAGAAGTGAAAAACCACCCTCCAGCATGCTGGGGAGTGGAGTGTGGACCAGCAGCAGCCACTGCGATACGTGATGTAAAGGCTGTGCACACGGCATCCGTGCATATATAGCCTTTTCATGCTCAGTGTGAAAAGCATGGCACCATCAGACCGTTCACCCAGGCAACACAACACTGAAGCCCTCCCTCCATCCCACACAAACCTAATAACACACGTGGGAGGAGTTGGTGGGAAAGACAGAGAAAGGGAGGTGCAGAAATGGTGATGAAGCTGCTTATTTTGATGTTGTCAGCGGCGCCAAAGTCTTTCTTCAAGAACTTTACGTAGGAGGGAGACAACTGCCTTCATGCTAGAGAGACTAATGCTGGGAGACGTCCATGGCCATGACAACAGAGGAGTGACAAAGATGTGATTCAGACCAGTGGCACTGGTTGTTTCATGTTTTCAAATCGCTCCCGAAAAGCAGAGGCATCACAAAAGCAGGGGGCAAAATGAACACGCCCGGCCGGTCCACTGGTCATTCTGTGGCGACACATCAATTCTGATGGGTGTTGACTCTGTAAACAAGAGTAATGCTGGATTTGTTGGGACACACTGTAGCGCTGCAGAGGAGGTTTTGTTTGGAACCAATACTAATGAAATTTCCTCCGAGGGTTTGCTCCTCTGAATGCTGCAGTGCAGAAAAACAGCCGTTCAGTCTTACACAGCTAAACGACACACCGCCATTCCTCAGAACTCTTCTGCTGGCGTTCAGCAAAACAAATGTCAAACTGACTCATTATTCCAAAGCTGAAAACAAAACACTGGTTTTCATGTATTCGTGATACATAATCCACTTTCTGTCTGTCTACTGCACAAGAGACCGTACTACGTTTTTACTTGTAATTATTCTTGTGTGATTATGATTCACTGGCTCTGGCCAAATAAGTGCTAGCTTGGATCAGCTTCGTTTTATTAAATAAATTTTGAAAAAGAAAATAACTGATTCTTATTCAGCTCAGATAAAAATCTCATTAAAAAAATCTAATTGAAAATGAAAGCAAGTATTTGGTATTTCCCTTCTGGGCTAATTCACTCTAAGAAATGAAACATTGAATTTACTAAACCAAGTTAGGTCAACCGATTTTACTAAACATAGTTGCTTAAATGTAAAAAGTCATACATATTTACTTTTAACAAAACAATGCATACCAATGTATATTACTCTTTGCATTTAAGCAACTAGGTTTAATGGAACCAGCTGACCTAACTTGGTTAAAGGTGAGTGACATCCTGTGGTCATTCTTGAGTACTACACTCCGAGTAGCAAAAGAGTCCGCTCTGAGTTACGGTACAAGATCTGCTCGGGTGCAAAATCGGCTCGGGGTCCTTCGACTGCCGATGACGTCAAAGTACGGCAAACCCACTCGGACAAAATACACTACACATCTATACTGTTGGAAAGAATTTAGCAGTTTCGTCATTAAAATAATGTTTCTTAAGACGTAAGTTTGTGTTTATAATGGTATTTGTAAAATAAAACACTATATTTTATTCATAATGTTGAACTCCTCTTTGAGCACATCCCTTGAAGAATCATATGTATTAGCAACACCTGTGTAATTGTATTTGCAGGAAAGAAGTGTGTCCCGTTTATTGAAGTATTTTGTGTTTAGAGTTTTTGACGTCTTGTCCATGCGTAGTTCAGTTACGCTCATAGCTGCTAGCCAAAACTCTAGAGTTAAAAGTTTTCTGGGTTTACTAAAATACCTGTCTGTAATTATTTGATTGATGGTAGTTTTACTTTCTAATGTAATCATTTGGCACGTTTCTAATTCATAATTTGTAATAATGTAATCGGCGATATTAGCATTAGCATTCCTATGGGTTTTTCCATGTATATTAGCATTGCGCTAACCACTCGCTGCCAAATTGCAACCTTTGCGATTAGAAAATCTCCTTTTGTCACATCGCAATTTAATTGCACATGCAGTTAATCGTTCAGCCCTAATATACATGCAGCTCTATGCTAAAAGTGTATTTTCAAAGAGGTAATGATGGATTTCTTTGTAAAAGTTGTCCATCTTTCCAACAGAAAGATTTGCCTGGACCAACGTAACGTGATAACAACGTAACGTGATTACGTAACTTCCGTAAGGTTCATGTTCAGCCAATCAACTACTTAGACGTCATCGGCAGTCGACGGGCCACGAGCCAATTTTGCACCCGAGCAGATCTTGTACCGACACCGGATCAAGTGCCAGAAGATTCTAGATGCCGAGTCATGCAGCAGATAAATACATTTCACTGTAATACTTAGTCGTTGGTAATTGAAAAAAGTAGCTAGAGATTTTTTTAGACGTGACAATTTTTTTCTAATTCAACGTTAACATTGTTAGCGCAACGTTAGCACAATGTTAGCCTTTTCTTTACTCTGGGTGTTTCTCAATGTCAAGGCGCCTGTCCTTGCAAGGCGATGTCTTGCGAGGCCAGTCATCTTGCTTATGAGGACACTGTCCTGTAGACCAAGCCTAGGCTACAAGACACCTCCCATTTATCCTTGCTCAGCTAGCTAAACAGCTAACAAACAGAGAACAGACGCCTTGGTAGAACATGAGCATTGGAACACCCCTTGGCAGTTCCTGATGATGTATTTCCTAGGCAACTGGGATGGGACCAATACATCAAGGCGAGGAACACCCCAATTGAAAAACACCCCAATTAGAGTAAAACAAAAAGTATGCCGTGGTTTCTTAGGGGTACAAGAAATAACTTCTGGGCGGCCACAACACTGCTGCTTTTTGCCTGCTGGTGTCAAATTACAAATGCTGACACAGCTGCATGTGCCAGCGCAGATTTGGCAACCTTGTGGGCTCAAATATGATTGGTTCTGGAACCAGGAAGCATAGAGGCAGTAGTTGGCACGGTTGGGGTTTGGTCGTGCTGGATGGCGTGATTTCAGTCTGGAACGGGCGGTGTAGTGTTCACATATAGATCCGAGCGACTTCTCAGGAATGCAGAAATTCCCGAGCCTGTGGGTGGCGCTTAGCATGCGCGGAAGGTCCGCTCCATGAGCTGTGTTGCTTTTGGAGACTCTGAACCACATTATTTTATTAATTTGCTGTGTGTGTCCTCATAATCTTGTGCCACACACACGCACGCACACACACGCACACACACACACACACACACACACACACACACTCACACACACACACTCACACACACACACACTCACACACACACACACACACACACACACACACACACACACAAAGCTATTCTTTTCTCCCGTTCCCACACTAAGGCAGCTCCAGAACAGCAGCTCCATGCTACAGACAGTTTACTCAACAGCGTCCAGCATGAAAATGAATGGCGCATGTGGGAATCCCCCCGCTGGCTCATTCTTCTCGCAGATCGGAGGCGGTAGGCGTAATTTCAGCCGGCCAATATGTCCGTAGTATTGCCTCGGTCCCAGTCTGACCGCGGAGGAGAAGGTCTGAGAAAAAGAGTCGCCTCTGCACTGAAAACGCAAATCGGACCTGTGTGCGAAACCAAATTCCGGTGCCGTTAGATACCTCTTGGGGCCGTGCCGACGCTAACGTGTAAGCACCATAAGACTA